TTCTGCCTAATCTTATAGATCATTTTGTCTCCCTCACTCTGGGTTTTTTATAATTCCTAAATGCTAACTTTTTGTTTTTAACTATTTTGGCCACATCTGCGGAGTACCACAGTGGTTTCTTGAATTTTTTGCTTTTACTGACAAGCCTAATGCAATTTTTCTGTTGCCTTCAATAGTGCAACTTTTAAATAATCCCATTTCTCTTGGACTCCATTTAAATTGCTCCAGTCTGATAATGACTCCTCTACCCATATTCTAATTTTAGAAAAGTCTGTTTTTTCTAAAGTCTAAAACTTTTGTTTTTTGTTTTTGTGTGGTGTGACTCAGTCACTGTTCTTATATTAAACCACACTGACTGATGATCACTGGATCCTAAACTTTCACCTACCGTAACATCTGATACCAAATCTCCATGTCTCCAAATCTCCCTACAGTAGCAAAGTACACTTGATACCAAGTTACGATCAGCTCATGGAACCTGCTAACAGAACTCTTGCATGAACCAGGTTGAAGCATTCAGAGCTATGGAATGTCTTTAATTGTTCTAGGAATGCAACTTCGGTGTTAGTTAATATAAATAGTACAATATTCGATTCATTATTTAATTTAAAAAAAATAAGTTTTGGTGCAGATTACTTTCCCTTCACACAGTGTGAGCTGCTGGGATCCATGAGTATTTTGCAGACAGCGGTTGGTCTGTCTGACTGTTTTAAATTAGCAGTCTGTTGTACTGATTTGATGTTAGCTTGTTACTGACATGTAAAAACAAAGAAAAGGATAAGAGTGCGCCTAAAATGTATAATAAAACATATAACAGTAAAATTAAATATAAAATGGTAATGATAAATATAAAATGGTAATAAACAATAGTCCAAAATTATTTTTATATTTTTTTACTTATATTTTTTATTTTACCCTTGCATCTGATCTATATCCACAAGGAACCCAAAGAATCCATAGGTGGGGATTATACCACCCAAACGTTTACACCGAGCAGTATAAGCCTGCTCTATAGAATGTAAGTAATCTACTTTACATCCTTTCGCTCAACTATATACAGAGAGCACTATATTCTTATTCTCTCATTTTGGGTTGAACAACATTTACTCGAACACTGAATCTGGGCCAGAAACTCTCCACTCAAACACTACTTTACATATCCTTGAGCGGGGATTTTTCCACTTCACGCGCTTAATATCAGAGCTAGGATCTAGCTCTGAAAAGTGTGAGTACGGCTATTTTTACTACTTTAGAATTTTATTCTCGATGATATACTGTATCATTGGAGTTCCTGTTTCTGTTTCCCTTTCATATATTTTTCACTGGATTCGAGTACACTATTGTGAAGATTCCACTACATTTCACGTCTCAGGATTTCCTGTTTCCTCAAAAGAACTCACCATTACGGACTCTTGATAAGTGTTTTGGACTATTGTTTATTACCATTTTTTATTCATCATTACCATTTTATATTTACTTTTACTGTTATATGTTTTATTATACATTTTAGGCGCACTCTTATCCTTTTTTTTGTTTTTACCTTTTATAGTTAGGGGATTATAGGGGACTCCCCTCTGAGAAGTGCTGCCTTCTTTATTTATTTGTGTGGCAGTAGTGCGCTGATTTTTTCTCTTTTCGTGTTACTGACATGTGCTTGATTTTTGTTTTTTTTTGTGATTTAATTTAGTAAAACAGTAATGAATTTTAACTATATAACAGAAGAGATTTTTGACATGAAAGTTCCTCTTTAGATATCATAAAGTCAAATTAAATAGCTTAACCCCTTATTGTGCAAGATGCGTCAATTTTCTGTATTGTCCTTCTGTCTGATTTAGAGCTACGCGAAGACCTTAATCTCAATGCTATGTTGAACGGGCCTTATGTTCTAATACAGACATATTTTCATCTTGAAAAAATCACATGAAGATGTTCGGCTGTTTCCAACCATAGACATTGCCTAATTAGTTAGAGCTAGCTAGAGGTCTGTTTTGTACGGATACTTTTCAGATAAGAGAAGTGCATGCTTTATAGATTGTTCTTAAGATGTTCTGACCGTGTGTCATTGACAGTATGTCAAAAATATACTGTTTTGTAATAATAACAAGAACATGCAGTACGTCTACTGCAATTCTTTTTTCTCTATTCAATTCCTTTTTCACAACTACTGTACAATTTTAGTTACTATTAATAGGGATGGTCTGACACCAAATACTCGGCTATAAATTATAGAGAATTGTGTAGAACGGAAAATTTAAAGGCAGTTGTTAGGCACAAACTGGTGACTTTGAAAAATCTCCAAACCAGCTAATCTCAGAGCTTTGATATTTTTGTTTAATTTGTCTTTTACAGTTTAACTGACTACTAAATAAACCCCAATCTCTTTTATTCTTGTTTTACTGAGGAACTCCCAAAATTGACCTCATAAAACTATTACTTTTCCCTCTCACTTGCCATTTTCTTTCACTTTTCTTTCCCCTTCTGCCTCCTCACACCCTTTCCCCTGTGCAGTACCCACACCCAGTTAAAGGTAAACTATAGTGCCAGGAAAACAAAGTTGTTTTCCCGGCACTATATCTCCCTATAGTGCCTCCCTCCCCCCAATCCCTTCTGTTACTTACCTGATTCCAGCGACGATGTCCCTCTGTGTTGGTTTAGGCTCTGCCTACCGCTCCTCCTCCAACAAAGTCAACCAGCGGGGGTTGGAGGAACCTAATGCGCATGCACGTTGAAGTGCTGCGGGGAGAGAAGAGGAGATGCTGGGGAGAGAGAAGAGGAGCTGCTGGGGGGAGAGAAGAAGAGATGCTGCGGGGAGAGAAGAGGAGAAGCTGGGGAGAGGAGGAGGAGGAGAAGCTGGGGAGAGGAGGAGATGCTGCGGGGAGAGAAGAGGAAAAGCTGGGGAGAGGAGGAGGAAAAGCTGGGGAGAGGAGGAGGAGGAGAAGCTGGGGAGAGGAGGAGGAGGAGATGCTGGGGGAGAGGAGCAGGAGGAGATGCTGGAGAAGGAGATGCTGGGGGAGAAGGGGAGGAGCAGATGCTAGGGGAGAGGAAGAGGAGAATCTGGGGGAAAGGAGGAGGATATGCTGGGGGAGATAGGGAGAGGAAGAGGAGAATCTGGGGGAGAGGAAGAGGAGGAAATTCTAGGTGAGAAGGGGAGAGGAGAAGAATCTGGGGAGAGGAGAGGAGAGGAAAGGAGAGGAGAGGAGAAGGAGATGCTGGGGGAGACGGGGATATGCTGTGGGTACAGAAGGAAAGATGCTGGGGGGAAAGAAGAGGAGAATTAGTTCGGACAACTGTACGAGTTGTTTTTTCTAAACTTAAACCTCAGTATTCAGGTTTAATTGCCGTGTTGGCACTTTGAGGGAAAAGAGTTGGCATGTATTGCGGTTTGGGCACTCGGGCTCAAAAAGGTTCGCCATCACTAACATAGGCTGAAAAGAGATGTGTCCATCAAATTCAGCCTTTTTTTTATTAAATAAAGTTGAAATGCACATGTTTAATGCATTAACAATAGAAATCCCTTTTAAATTAATTGTCTTCTAATTCTTTTTTATAATTAATTGTCAGTTATCACAAGAGCTTGCACACCGATCAATTTTAGTGTGAGACTTTAATATAGTCCACTATATCATTTAACTTTGCATAATTGATTAACAGAATCTTCAGCTGGCCATTTGGATGACTGATGGCTCCCAAGTGATCTACCGAGCATTAGGAAACTGAAGCAGTATGTTATCTGGGATGACACGAATTGAAATCCATTTGAGCAGGGCGCCCAGCATCTTCTGTTCCTGAACATCCAACTTGTCTTGTTACTCCTCCTCTGATACAGTGCTATGGAACTTGTTGACCCTTTGTAAATAATTATAATAATAGGAATTTGCAGTAAGTCAAATGTTCCTTATCTATGTTAGGAAACAATAATTATCTCATTTTTTTTTTCATGTGGCTTTAAATTTCCCTCCATGCTTCCTCCTGTTCTTCTCCTCTCATTCCTATGTCTCTCTACAGAGATAAAAGCTCAGCTCCATTTCGAGAACTGTTCATGATGAGAGGGAGAGTTACTTTAAAATGAGAGGTACTGGAGGTTGAAATAGCACCATAGCACCATAGATGCTGATGAGTTATACAGATAAATAAGAATTTCTCCTGGAGATCATGGCTGCATTGCTTTTCTGAGGATGGACAAATTAAACAATATAATGCATTGTGTTAAAAGAGACCTTAGGATGCTCAGCAAACTGGGACCCCAACCTTATTTCTCCTTAATGTTTTGACTTTATCTTTTTTTATGTGATATGTATTGTTCCTTTAGAGCCCAAGAGAGGGCAGTTTTGATTATTACCATATAAGGTATTCTTGATCTGCCTATTGTTAATGGATCTAGCTACCCATCCATCAATGATGAAAAAAAATAACTATAAAAATGATTTAAAAAAATATTGCTACACTTTACATTTTTATAAAGTTAAATGACGATTTTAAAAGAATTAAAACAAGTGGTGCAGTCTCTTGTTTTACTATACAATCAATACTTGAAAAATATAAAAAGTGAGGTTAGGACTCCAAATGAAAAATAGAGGGACCCACCTCGCTAGAATTACCTTTATTATAAAAATATCATAAATGGTAAGAGACTTTATTGAAAACCAAATACACAAAACATAAACATTTCCACATATAAAAGGTGTGCACATAACCCACCGTGTGTAAAAAAAAACATAAACACAGAGCAATACACCTTTAAATACCTGGGGTAAGAATAATCATATAAATGTATATATATATAGCAATACTTGTGGTACATACTATTGGTTGAAATCAGTATGTGTAGACAGATCTCTCATACATATACACTGCTCAAAAAAATAAAGGTAACACAAAAATAACACATCCTAGATCTGAATGAATTAAATATTCTTCTGAAATACTTTGTTCTTTACATAGTTGAATGTGCTGACAACAAAATCACACAAAAATTAAAAAATGGAAATAAAATTTTTCAACCCATGGAGGTCTGGATTTGGAGTCACACTCAAAATTAAAGTGGAAAAACACACTACAGGCTGATCCAACTTTGATGCAATGTCCTTAAAACAAGTCAAAATGAGGCTCAGTAGTGTGTGTGGCCTCCACGTGCCCGTATGACCTCCCTACAACGCCTGTGCATGCTCCTGATGAGGTGGCGGATGGTCTACTGAGGGATCTCCTCCCAGATCTGGACTAAAGCATCTGCCAACTCCTGGACAGTCTGTGGTGCAACGTGACGTTGGTGGATGGAGCGAGACATGATGTCCCAGATGTGCTCAATTGGATTCAGGTCTGGGGAATGGGCGGGCCTTCGTCTTGCAGGAACTGCTGACACACTCCAGCCACATGAGGACTAGCATTGTCTTGCATTAGGAGGAACCCAGGGCCAACCGCACCAATGTATGGTCTCACAAGGGGTCTGAGGATCTCATCTCGGTACCTAATGGCAGTCAGGCTACCTCTGGCAAGCACATGGAGGGCTGTGCGGCCCCCCAAAGAAATGCCACCCCACACCATTACTGACCCACTGCCAAACCGGTCATGCTGGAGGATGTTCCAGGCAGCAGAACATTCTCCACAGCGTCTCCAGACTCTGTCACGTCGGTCACATGTGCTCAGTGTGAACCTGCTTTCATCTGTGAAGAGCACAGGGCGCCAGTGGCAAATTTGCCAATCTTGGTGTTCTCTGGCAAATGCCAAACATCCTGCACAGTGTTGGGCTGTAAGCACAACCCCCACCTATTGACGTCGGGCCCTCATACCACCCTCATGGAGTCTGTTTCTGACCGTTTGAGCAGACACATGCACATTTGTGGCCTGCTGGAGGTCATTTTACAGGGCTCTGGCAGTGCTCCTCCTGTTCCTCCTTGCACAAAGGCGGAGGTAGCGGTCCTGCTGCTGGGTTGTTGTCCTCCTACGGCCTCCTCCACGTCTCCTGATGTACTGGCCTGTCTCCTGGTAGCGCCTCCATGCTCTGGACACTATGCTGACAGACACAGCAAACCTTCTTGCCACAGCTCGAATTGATGTGCCATCCTGGATGAGCTGTACTACCTGAGCCACGTATGTGGGCTGTAGACTCCGTCTCATGCTACCACTAGAGTGAAAGCACCGCCAGCATTCAAAAGTGACCAAAACATCAGCCAGGAAGCGTAGGAACTGAGAAGTGGTCTGTGGTCACCACCTGCAGAACCACTCCTTTATTGGGGGTGTCTTAATAATTGCCTATAATTTCCACCTGTTGTCTATCCCATTTGCACAACAGCATGTGAAATTGATTGTCACTCAGTGTTGCTTCCTAAGTGGACAGTTTGATTTCACAGAAGTGTGATTGACTTGGAGTTACATTGTGTTGTTTAAGTGTTCCCTTTATTTTTTTGAGCAGTGTATATTAAATCAATTAAAAAGAAAATCAAATTAGTTTTCCTATCACCCCAACCAACCAAAAGATTGGAGGTAGGGTCAGGAAAAAAGGTCAGGACGGTGGTACCAGCTCCACCTAAATATGGGCTTGTACCCGAAGATTAAATATGAAAAACAAAAATAGCTAGATTGGAAGGATACCCCCAAAGAGGTCCTTCAAATAACTGATATAAGAGATATATACACCATAAATACAAAATCTCTTAGAGAATTCTTGAAAGGTATATAGAATATAAGCAATAGAGACTCTAGTATCTCTAATAAGTCAAAAAGTATCTTAGGGCAAAAAACAATAGATATAGGAGCAGACAAGCTTTATTAACCTCATAATGCCCAAAAGAAACTAAAATGTAAACGGTGGCTGATGAGATACAAACTATATCCCCCCCTTATTGTCTAAACTGGGAGTAAGTTTGTAACAATCCACAATCATCAGTTCGATCTACACAGCCGGGAATAGAGCTTGCTGTTGTGAGGGAAGCTGATAAATGTCTGGTCTAAAGATCCAATAGACTAAATCTGCTATTGATATACAGAACTGCTGCAGTAGACACCGCTAAGCTTGTTCCCTATAAACTCCTATAAACACCTTTGTGGGTGTTCTATACTAAAGCTACTATTAAACCCAGTGTCTACATCAGCCCTTGATAAAGTACTAGATAATGCTTAGGCTATATACATCAACAAAACTACTCACTACAGAAAAGTGAAAAATAAAAGATAAAAAACGAATCCCTTCATGTGCATAGTGATAAGTGAAGTGAAGTGAAGGGACGCGCGTTTCGGAGTGCGAGGACTCCTTCGTCAGCACTCCTTCGTTAGCCCCTGACGAAGGAGTCCTCGCACTCCGAAACGCGCGTCGGGTGTTTCAGCTCTTTATCCCTTCACTTCACTTAGCACTATGCACCTGAAGGGATTCGTTTTTTATCTTTTATTTTTCACTTTTCTGTAGTGAGTAGTTTTGTTGATGTATATAGCCTAAGCATTATCTAGTACTTTATCGAGGGCTGATGTAGACACTGGGTTTAATAGTAGCTTTAGTATAGAACACCCACGAAGGTGTTTATAGGAGTTTATAGGGAACAAGCTTAGCGGTGTCTACTGCAGCAGTTCTGTATATCAATAGCAGATTTAGTCTATTGGATCTTTAGACCAGACATTTATCAGCTTCCCTCACAACAGCAAGCTCTATTCCCGGCTGTGTAGATCGAACTGATGATTGTGGATTGTTACAAACTTACTCCCAGTTTAGACAATAAGGGGGGGATATAGTTTGTATCTCATCAGCCACCGTTTACATTTTAGTTTCTTTTGGGCATTATGAGGTTAATAAAGCTTATCTGCTCCTATATCTATTATTTTTTGCCCTAAGATACTTTTTGACTTATTAGAGATACTAGAGTCTCTATTGCTTATATTCTATATACCTTTCAAGAATTCTCTAAGAGATTTTGTATTTATGGTGTATATATCTCTTATATCAGTTATTTGAAGGACCTCTTTGGGGATATCCTTCCAATCTAGCTATTTTTGTTTTTCGTGTATATTAAATCAGGCTCAGAGTATAGTAGGATAGCATTCATCCCATGCTTCTGTCTCAAATATAGATGACAAAGTGTCTTATAATAATTAGATGCTGAACATGCTGTGTCCAAGTGACAAGTTCTCTGGTCTATAAATGTATATAGTCTTGGCTGCATGCAGTAAAGTGGTCTGTAGAGCCCTTATTAGCAAAGAAGAATAACTGATATGAATAGTACTAATGGTAATGATAATAGCAATGTCTTAGAGGATACACTGTAATGAGTTTAAGAGAAACTTAAACAAAGAAAAAAAGGGGTAAACTTGTATAAACGGCCAAACAATATGGCAGTGCTGAAATTTGACTCAATACTAGTTGAGTCAAAAAATTTTAGTTGAGTTTGTAATTCCCTTCTCATTTCACAAGTATTCAATCTTCTGGGAATAAGCTCCTAAATATTTGAATTCAATACAAGTCCTGATTTAATTAATCCTTTAAATGAGCATGCTTTTCATATTTTTCGATAAATACATGTATCTGGGTCAGAAACTCTGTGTTCTGTATCCCTTTTAACTTTTAAAATATTGCTTTAAAATTCACACTGTGGATCAAGAAATTCAGCTTAATTTTCACAAATCTCAACTGGTTTATATATATGTAGAAAAAACAACGAGGGAACCGGCTGATAATCTCTACAAAAGTAAATAGAGAAAATATAGTGTAATACAGTTTACAGTATAGACATTGCGCAAATTGAAATGCACTCACTGGATTTTGGACAAATTGAAGCTTGTAAGGTGCCTTCCCCGATAGTAGGGGGGGCTAGGGAAATCCCCTGGATATTTTCACTCCAACACAGGACTCCGGGTGAAGTTTGAAAAATTGGCTTTAATTCAATATTAAAATAAGTTTAAAAAAGAATAAAATAAATATAAATAAGGTCCTACGCGTTTCGTCCCTTTAACAAAATAGGGACTTCCTCAGGGACCACAATATTAAGAAACAATTTGATACAGTACAATCAAAAAACAGCCTAACAAATCCCCACCCGAAAAGTCCTTTAAATAGGGCTAATCCCTCATCTAAATTCAGTCACATGTTATCCTCAGACTCTCCTCATTAGTCCTCCATTAATAGGGTTCATCTGTTGCCGATCGCGGCTCCAAGTGTTCACAGCTGATTTCGGAATTGTTCAATAATCCTCCGACAGCTGCCGGCACGGAAGTGCCATGCGTTCCAACTGCGTTCACTAAACCGGAAGTGGCATGCGTTCCAACCACGTTGACGGAACCGGAAGTAATATGCGTTCCAAACTCGTTGTTTTGCGTTCCATTTATAATCTGCAATATCTGGCCATAAAATACATGTAAATACTTCCACTCTTCCAATCAAAAGTCACTATTAGTGTATTAATCTTATAATTCATACAAGAAATACTATGCTATTCACCATATAAATTCAATAACTAAACATAATCCACTCTAATATACCACATGAATGTGATTTAATAATATCAATTAATCCCATATTTTTATGAAAATGTGATTTATATTCATCAGTAAATTTGTAATAAATGCCAATAAATTCATCAATGTGCTACTTTTTGTGTCAATCATTATTTATTATCCTTTGAAAGAAGGGGAGTTAGATCCTACGCTCAAGTAGCCAGACAAGATGAACATAATAGTAGATTCAATTCGCAATATAATGAAAAGGAAGAAAATTTTCAGGGGAGAACCCGAGGTCCAAAAGAAAAACCCATAACAAATTATTTTCACCCAAGGACTACTCCTTGGGCACATCAAAATCGGTTCTCTCCTTTACAAATAGATTCTCCAAACAAGAGAACACGAATGGAGGATTAGAGGATTTAGTACAGAATCAAGTTAGTTTGCAGGCAAAAGCAAGAGAGAAAGGTATATTTAATATATCTGGTTTACCCCTGTCAGAAAGTGAGATACAGTTATTATCAAAGGGTATGAAGTTTGCACCCAATAGAACATCAAATGAGTTTAATTTATATATAGATTTAAAAAAATACATTAGGTCATTAACATTAAAGAGACATTTTATGTTACAATCTAGTCAGATAATGACTCCAATTATGAATGAGGAGGAACTAAGAAATCGAAAATTTAGACCTAAATCACATTTTTATCCTACACAAAACAGAGGTCCATATTTAGAGATTTTTGAAAAATTAGTGGATAGGGAGTTTAAAACAGTGATTAATAAACATAATTTGAA